ATTTACACTATTTACATTGTTCGGGCTGTTGTCCTCATCTTTATTGCCATATTCACGACGTTTAGACCGTTGTACGCTCCGGCCTTCTTCTATATCTGTCTATATTTCTGAGATGAGGTATTGTAATTATTTACACTATTTACATTGTTCGGGCTGTGGTACTCATCTTTATTGCCATATTCACGACGTTTAGACCGTTGTACGCTCCGGCCTTTTTCTATATATGTCTATATATCTGTGACGAGGTATTGTAATTATTTACACTATTTACATTGTTCGGGCTGTTGTCCTCATCTTCATTGCCATATTCACGGCGTTTAAACCGTTGTACGCTCCGGCCTTCTTCTATATCTGTCTATATTTATGAGATGAGGTATTGTAATCATTTACACTATTTACATTGTTCAGACTCTTGTCCTCATCTTCGTTGCCATATTCACGACGTTTAGACCGTTGTACGCTCCGGCCTTCTTCTATATCTGTCTATATTTCTGAGATGAGGCATTGTAATTATTTACACTATTTACATTGTTCGGACTGTTGTCCTCATCTTTATTGCCATATTCACGACGTTTAGACCGTTGTACGCTCCGGCCTTCTTCTATATCTGTCTATATTTCTGAGATGAGGTATTGTAATTATTTACACTATTTACATTGTTCGGGCTGTTGTCCTCATCATCGTTGCCATATTCACGACGTTTAGACCGTTGTACGCTCCGGCCTTTTTCTATATATGTCTATATTTCTGAGATGAGGTATTGTAATTATTTACACTGTTTACATTATTCGGACTGTTGTACTCATCTTTATTGCCATATTCACGACGTTTAGACCGTTGTACGCTCCGGCCTTCTTCTATATCTGTCTATATTTCGGAGATGAAGTATTCTAATTATTTACACTATTTACATTGTTCAGACTGTTGTCCTCATCTTCGTTGACATATTCACGACGTTTAGACCGTTGTACGCTCCGGCCTTCTTCTATATCTGTCTATATTTCTGAGATGAGGTATTGTAATTATTTACACTATTTACATTGTTCAGACTGTTGTCCTCATCTTCGTTGACATATTCACGACGTTTAGACCGTTGTACGCTCCGGCCTTCTTCTATATCTGTCTATATTTTTGAGATGAGGTATTGTAATTATTTACACTATTTACATTGTTCGGGCTGTTGTCCTCATCTTTATTGCCATATTTACGACGTTTGGGCCGTTGTATCCCCGGCCTTCTTCTGGTGACTGGAATTTCAAACCGAACCCTTTATTTCGTCCACCGGGGTAGTCTCTGCTAGTTCCACGTGCCATGTCTCTTTCGGATGTCTCAGTAATCTCCCTTTAATTCAACTCGCCAAGGTTTTTTTTTTATTTCCACCACTATAAGAGCCATGTATTGAACTAACTAATCTTTAGGTTAAGTCACTGGTTCCGACCAACGCTTTTATCGACTGGGGCATTGACCCAAAGAGATTTAGAGTTCAATACCTGGCTACTGCAGTGCTGAACAAAAGCTTGGACAGTTGAGTTCGAAGGAGATTATCGAGATATCCATAAGAGGTATGTTAGGTGGAACTAGCACAATCTACCCTTGTGGAAGAAATAAAGTGTTTTGTTCGAAATTCCAATCACTTGAAGAAGGCCGGAACGTACAACGGCCGAAACGACGTGAATACGGCTATAAAGATGAGGGCAACAGTCCGAACAATGTAAATAGTGTAAATAATTACAATACCTCATCTCAGAAATATAGACAGATATAGAAGAAGGCCGGAACGTACAACGGCCGAAACGACGTGAATATCGCAATAAAGATGAGGACAACAGTCCGAACAATGTAAATAGTGTAATTAAGTAGTAGTAAGGATAAAAATATAGTAAAATAAAGAAGAAGAAAAAAAAAACACGGAAGAAGAAGTAATATCAAAAAAAGCTGCTTAATTAATGAAAAAGAAAAATGAAAAAGAAATACTAGGAAGAAGAAAAATGAGGATGGAACACGAAGAATAAGAAAAATGACTCAGAAGCAGAAAGAAGAAGAAATAAGACGTAGGGTGAAAAAACGAAGGAAGAAAAAGGAAGAAGATAAATGAGAAAAAACAAGTCAGAGGAAAATCGCTTAAAACTTGGAAGAAGAAAAAATCAAAAGAAAAACCTACGAAGAAATATGAGGCGAATAAGGAAAAGAAAAAGATTCCTAAACAGTCACTCTGAAGTACCAGGAAAAAAAAAGAAGCTAGAATGCCTAAAAGATAAGAATGCGCTCTTATCAAAATGTGCCAATATTTTATTCATCCAATGGTTGCCATATCGTGTCAAAAATTTCTAACAAAATAACCGTAAACGTACACAGGCTTTCTTTCTTTCTTTAACATATCTCGATTAAAAATGGTTGTTGGTGCGAGAAATGAAAGATTGTTTTTTTTTTTTCTTTTAGCAATTTGTGTCCATAATTCTTCATGTCCTTTTTTTTCTATTTTTTTTTTTTATTCCTTTGACTAATTTATTTGGACCAAAATGACACAAGCTGTATTTTAGTGAGGTCAAACTTTGCAAATCTCATACGATTAATGCTATCAATTCTGGCTTCGTTACTTTTAATGGATGGCATTTCGTTCGCATTGATGCATTCAAGTATTTCTTCTTTGTTTTTCATTCGTGCTTTGCTTTTAATCTTTCTACTCTTCATCGTATCTTTGTTCTTTCCTTTTCTTATTGTCGTTCATTCTTAATGCCACTTATATTTTTTTCCTTTCTTTCTAACATTCCTTCCATTCTGATGCATACATTCTTTCTTTCTTTCTTTCTTTCTTTCTTTCTTTCTTTCTTTCTTTCTTTCCCTGTTGGCTTTTCTGCTTTTTCAATGGTGTTTTATTGTTGCTTTTCACTGTCTTTCTTCGTTTACTTTCCAGTCGTTTGTTATCTTTATTCTATCTTTTCGTTCTGTTTCCTTCCTTCCTCCCTCCGTCCCTTCCTTCCATCATTCCTTCCTTCCTCCCTCCCTCCCTTCCTTCTATCCATCTATCCTCCTTATTTCTTTTTTTCCATACATACATACATACTCTTTCCTTCCTTTCTTCCTTACTTCCTTCGTTCCTTCCATACATCTTTACTCCTTTCTTTCCTCCCTTCCTTCCTTCTGTCTATTCGTTGTTCCTTACATACATCCTTACTCCTTTCCTTTCCTTCCTTCCTTCCTTCCTTCCTTACATCTTTACTCTTTTCTTTCCTCCCTCCCTTCCTTCTGTCCATTCGTCGTTCCTTACATACATCCTTACTCATTTCTTTCTTTCTTTCTTTCTTTCTTTCTTTCCTTCCTCCTTGCCTTCCTTCATTCCTTTCTTCCTTCCTTCCTTCTATCCACCCATACTCTCTCTTTCTTTCCTTCCATATATACATACATACTCCTTCCTTCCTTCCTTCCTTCCTTTTTTCCTTCCTTCCTTCCTTCCTTCCTTCCTTTTTTCCTTCCGTCCGTCCGTCCTTTCTTCCTTCCTTCTTTCCTTCCTTCCTTCCATACATCTTTACTCTTTTCTTCCCCCCTCCCTTCCTTCTGTCCATTCGTCGTTCCTTACATACATCCTTACTCATTTCTTTCTTTCTTTCTTTCTTTCTTTCTTTCTTCCTTTCTTCCTCACCTTCCTTCATTCCTTTCTTCCTTCCTTCCTTCTATCCACCCATACTCTTTCTTTCTTTCCTTCCATATATACATACATACTCCTTCCTTCCTTCCTTTTTTCCTTCCGTCCGTCCGTCCTTCCTTCCTTCCTTCCTTCCATACATCTTTACTCCTTTCTTTCCTCCATCCCTTCCTTCTGTCCATTTGTCGTTCCTTACATACATCCTTACTCATTTCCTTCCTTCCTTCCTTCCTTCCTTTCCTTCCTTCCTTCCTTCCTTCCTTACATCTTTACTCTTTTCTTTCCTCCCTCCCTTCCTTCTGTCCATTCGTCGTTCCTTACATACATCCTTACTCATTTCTTTCTTTCTTTCTTTCTTTCTTTCTTTCCTTCCTTCCTTCCTTCCTTTCTTCCTTCCTTCCTTGCTTCCCTCCCTCCGTCCCTCCGTACGTCAGTCCTTCCTTCTTACTCCTTTGTTTCCTTCCATCTATCATTTCTTCCTCCAATCTTCCTTTTGTTCCGTTCATTTTCCTTCTTTTTCTTCCTTCACCCTTTCATTCACTCCATGCTTTCTTCTGTCTTTCCTTTCTTCCTTTTTTCCTTCATCATTCCATTTTCCATTCCTTCCATCCTTCCTCCCGCCCTTCTTCCTTTCTTTCTTTCCTTGATTTCTTCCATTCTCCTTCACTTCCATACATCTTTCCTTGCTGCTGTCTTTCTTTCATTCTTTATTTCCTTCTCTCCTTCCATTTTACGCTTCATTCCTTCTTTCTTCCTTATACGATTCTTTCCTTCCAGTCATCCAACTTTCTTTCCTTTCTTTACTTTCGTCCTTCTTTCCTTCCTTATATCCATTTTCCTTCCTCCTTCCCTTCCTCTATCGTTCTTTCTTTCTTTCTTTCTTTTTTCTTTCTTTCTTTCTTTCTTTCTTTCTTTCTTTCTTTCTTTCGTTCGTTCTTAACGTTCCATCTTTCCTTCCTTCCATCCGCCCGGCCTTCCGTCCAACATTTCATCATTCCTTCCTTCCATCCTCCCTTCCTGCTTTCCTTTCATCATTCGAGCCTTCATTTCATCCATCTTTTCTTCATTCCTTCCCTATTTCTTTCCTCTTTTTTCTTTCTTTCTTTTTTCTTTTTTCTTTCTTAACTTTCCTTCCTTCCTTCCTTCTATTCTTCCATGCTTCTTTCCTTCATCCATTTATTTCTTACATCATTTCTTCTTTATTTCATGCTTTCCTTCATTCTTTCTTTCTGTCTTTTAATCCTTCTTAATTTCCTTCCTTCCTTCCTTCTTTCCTTCTTTTTTCCTTCCTGCCTAACTTCTTCTTTCTTTCCTTATTTTAGGAAAGAAAGAAAAAGAAAAAGCGAAAAAGAAAGATTTAAAAAAAAGAACGCAAATGTGAAAAAGAAAGAAAGAAAAAACATAGAAAGAAAGAAAGGCCGACAGAAAGAAAGAAAGAAAGAAAGAAAGAAAGAAAGAAAGAAAGAAAGAAAGAAAGACAAATAAGCTGACGGAAATAAAGAAAGAAGTAAATAAAAAAGAAAGAAAGAGAAAGAAAGAAAAAGAAAGGTGAGAAAAAGAAAGAGAAGTAAAGAAAGAAAGAAAGAAAGGCAGACAGAAAGAAAGAAAGAAAAAGAAAGAAAGAAAGAAAGAAAGAAAGAAAGAACGAAAGAGGGAAAAAGAAAGAAAGAAAACACAGAATGAAAGAAATACACACAGAAAGAAAGAAAGGCAGAAAGGCAGAAAGAAAGAAAGAAAGAAAGACAAAAAAGCTGGCGGAAATAAAGAAAGAAGTAAATAAAAAAGAAACAAAGAGAAAGAAAGAAAGAAAAAGAAAGAAAGAAAAATTAACGAAAGAGCGAAAAAGAAAGAAAGAAAAAAAACATGTATAATGAAAGTTTTCAAGCTAACAGTGAGAAACAAAAAAGACGAAAAGAAAGGAAGAAATACACATAGAAATAAAGAAAGGCTGAAAGGCAGAAAGAAAAAAAGACAAATAAGCTGGCGGAAATAAAGAAAGAAGCAAATAAAAAAGAAATAAAGAGAAAGAAAGAAAGAAAAAGAAAGAAAGAAAAATTAACGAAAGAGCGAAAAAGAAAGAAAGAAAAAAACATATATAATGAAAGTTTTCAAGCTAACAGTGAGAAACAAAAAAGACGAAAAGAAAGGAAGAAATACACATAGAAAGAAAGAAAGGCTGAAAGGCAGAAAGAAAGAAAGAAAGAAAGAAAGACAAATAAGCTGACGGAAATAAAGAAAGAAGCAAATAAAAAAGAAACAAAGAGAAAGAAAGAAAGAAAAAGAAAGAAAGAAAAATGAACGAAAGAGCGAAAAAGAAAGAAAGAAAAAAACATGTATAATGAAAGTTTTCAAGATAACAGTGGGAAACAAAAAAGACGAAAAGAAAGGAAGAAATACACATAGAAAGAAAGAAAGGCAGAAAGAAAGAAAGAAAGAAAGACAAATAAGCTGACGGAAATAAAGAAAGAAGGAAATAAAAAAGAAAGAAAGAGAAAGAAATAAAGAAAAAGAAAGAAAGAAAAATGAAAGTAAGATCGAAAAAGAAAGAAAGAAAAAAACATATATAATGAAAGTTTTCAAGCTAACAAAAAAGACGAAAAGAAAGGAAGAAATACACATAGAAACAATCAAACGCAGAAAGGAAGTAAAAAGAAAGAAACAATAAACCGACGGAAAGAAAGAAACAAAGAAACAAAGAAAGAAAGAAAACAGAGAAAGTATGTTGAAAGCTGTCAAGCAAACAGCGAGAAACAAAAAGAAAGAAGAGAAAGAAGAAGTAAAGAAAGAAATACACACAAAATGCAGAAAGAATGAATGAACGTCAGACAGACAGAAAGAAAGAAAAAAGAAAGAAAAAGCAAGAAAATAAAACGGACCTAAAGAAAGAAAGAAAAAGAAAGACATTCAGAAAGAAAGATTAGATTCACAGGAATAAAACCATGGCAGAAAGAAAAATGAAAAATAGAAAGACTGAAAGAAAGAATAATTAAATGAAAAAATCATAATGAAAATGAAACCATAAAATGAAAGCATCGAACATGAAAGGAAGGAATACAAAAGGAAGAAAGAAAAAGGAAAGAAAGACAAAATCAATAAATAAATAAAAGAAAGAAAGACAACAGAAAGAAAATAATAAAGAAAGAAAATAGCAAGGAAGGAGGAAAGACAAAAATAAAGTAAGACAAAAGAAAGAAAGAAAGAAGAAAGAAATAAAATAAGAAATAAAGAAAAAAGAATGGAGAGAAGGAAGGAAGAAAAAAGACAAAAGAAAGAAAGAAAAATAAAAGAAAGATAAAGGAAAGAAAGGAAGGACAAAGGAAAAAAAATAAAAAAAAGAATGAAATTAAAGAAAAAAGAAAGGTTAAAGCAGCGAACAGAAAGAAATATACGTAATTAAAATAAAACAAAAAAACACAAGAAAGAAGGAAATAAAAACGAATAATGCATTATAAAAATAAATATAAAGAATAAATAAAAGTATTGCACGATTAAAGGAAATATGAAGGTAGAAGGAAGGATACAAGGAAGGAAAAAAGACGGAGAGAAGGTGGGAAATGAATTAAGAAACGAAGAAAGAAATGATGTATGGATGGAATGAAAGAAAGAAGGAAGGAAGAAAAAATAAGGAAAGAAAGGAGTTAGCCAAGAAGGAAAAAAGAAGGAAAGAAAGAAGGAAGGAAATTAAGAAGGATTAAAAGACAGAAAGAAAGAATGAAGGGAAGCAGGAAAGAAACGAAGGAATGATGTAAGAAATAAATGAATGAAGGAAAGAATAAACACAATTTTTTTTAAAAATTAATCAGTTTGTCTGACGATCGCGAAAGCGTGAAACCCAGGGTCACAAAATCACATCTATCCAAGTATATATATATATATATATATATATATATATATATATATATATATATATATATATTCTTTGGCGTGGGTGATTTTAGTGGTCGGGTATTGTAGAGAACTTTTTTGAAAACCCCACACCTCCATTCACAATAAATAAAAATTTAAACTGACACTCTAAAATGTGATCTATGTACTCAAAGGCACAAAATGCAAGAAGGAGATTTCCTGATATTGAGTTGTCGACCCCAGCGTGCGGAACCATTGGAAAGTCCATGAAAAATAGTACCGGTCCTTGTGAGCGAAATTGGGGAGGCGGAACACTTGAGGGTCGTCGATAGCTGTGCCGAGGGATTGAGCCTGCTGGCCTTGTTCAAATTGTTCATCACGCTAGATAACACGCTCTTTCCCATAAACTGTAACTAAGGTCTGCTGAGCCTAGTTACAGTATAAACAGCAGGAATCACTTCAAGTCTACCGGATCCTTATCCAAATAATCCGAGTCCTCCAACAACAACTGGGATTATTGATGTTCTCATGTGCCACATTTTTGTGATTTCCATTTCAATTTTGTATTTTGATCGTTTTTAAAGAACTTCAAAGTTATATTATGATCTGCAAGGACTGCCTTATTAATAAGAAAGCTCATCCTGTTCTTGGGATTTTTAAACACGATGCCATTTATGATTAGCTTTGATTCTTCTGTCTTTAGATTCTTTTAGATTCTTCTGTCTTTAGATTCTTCTGTCTTTAGATTCGTCTGTCTTTAGATTCTTCTGTCTTTAGATTCTTCTGTCTTTAGATTCGTCTGTCTTTAGATTCTTCTGTCTTTAGATTCTTCTGTCTTTAGATTCTTCTGTCTTTAGATATTGAAATTCGAATGAAATAATAAGTGATAATAAGTTTTTCTTCAAAACTCCTTGCTGGTAATAATTTTTTCCAAAAATGTATTACTGATATTAAAATCTATTTTTAAACTTTCATAATGTTTTGCTTACAGCTTGGGCCTTAACTATTTACCCATATCTGCCATTATTTACACACACACACAGACACACACACACACACACAGAGACACACACACACACAGACACACACACACACACACACACACATATATATATATATATATATATATATATATGTGTGTGTGTGTGTGTGTGTATCAGCCAAGCACTTAACAACAGAGTTGCCCTTCACAAAAGCAACAACAAATTAGCCGACAACAGTCAAATGGGAACAAATGCACAATTATACATTTTATTCACAACTGGATAACTATAGATGTAGAACATGTCCAGTGGATTGATGAATACCGTAAATCGCCATGATTAATACGTATTTTTGTCTAGAAAATAATAAGCAAAATTAGGGGTGCGTATTATGCACAGTTACAAACATATCTTTCAAAACTTACCGATTCATAAGTCGATTTCAGTTGCACAATGACGATTCACCACAAACATACAAAAGTTTGGCACTAACATCCGGCGATTGGGACCCCATAAGAATGTCAAATACAATCATATATACCTAACAATACTTACAATTCTAAAATAAAATAGGAATTATCATTAAACTAAATTAGACTAATATTATTCTCTGTTTAAAATCATTTATTAATAAGAGTAAAACGCTGGTCGTGATGAAATTGGAGAGGTACATTTTATAGGGTTGGATTACCAAACAAGGGTTGCGTATTAAGCGTGAGTAGAAGCATCTGTGCGTATTATAGATGAAGGCGTATTATATATGGGGAATTATGGAAGTTCGATAGGGATCAGGGGAGAATGTGTGGCCGCCGTCTTGAAATCCCTTTTCCTCTCTGTTGTTCTAGAAATTTCTGATCAAAGGTCATAACTTGTTTCTCATCAATTGAGAAAGTTAAGACTGTTTTTATGACGTCCGTCGCAATACCTTCCATTTGAAGTCTGATGTTTGACAGGTGTTCGACGGGAATCTACCTCTAGATATATGGTTAGTTCTAGCTTACGATTGCCACCCACCGCCACAACTGTGCCTTTTTCTCGAGTCTTTGGTTGTTTATTGAGTTTGACTTGAATACATTGAGCGAGTTCGAACTTGCCCAATAAAACATTGAGTGAATCGACTGTCATTTGATTTACTATCTGGAAGGCGAGAAGGACGTAACTGATTTGCGTGTCTAACTCATATAGATGCCTACACATCAATATCATCGATGGCGATTTTGGCCAGTGTATTATTTTTATTCCCCTTTACAGTAACCCTTGGTAAGTACAGGTTGTCCTGGTACAAATTAATGAGGGAGCACTCAATGCTGGCGGTAAAATTGTTTTTTTTTTTTCATCTAGGGAGCGAGTTAACTCCGCTTTTATGACGTCAGTCTTAACAGCAAGATACTGTTAAATAAATAAACAGAACGTCTGCACAGATACGGGTATCCACTAAAATGAGTAATGCAATCAATAAAACTAGTTCTAAACAGTACTCTTCTTAATAAAATATTCTCAGTACTGAAAAATACGTTAATGGAATGGCTTTCAACTGGCGATTACAATATTCTCGCCGCTAGAGATTAATAAAGAAATTAATAACGCTTCACGCTCATAAAAATGCGCCCGACTCATGCTCTGGTCAGTCACACGATTCACGGATGACCCGCGGAAACTTGAACGATACCAAAATTGATTTAAACAGGATTTTTTTTTTTTCAAAAAGAATTGCTGTTTAACACTCCAAGATGAAACTAACTTGAAAGAAGAGAGTTTAAGGATGTTTTTGATATTGGCGTTTATAAGATATCCTGATGGCAAAGTAATAAACCAATCTACTTAAATCCCTCGTCTAACCAACCTGCTGCCATTTTTTCTACAAGTTAATCGGTGAGTGGCAGATTGCTCGTAAAATCCTTTAATTCCAAAGACTTTTCTCAAATAAAATTCAACTACGATGCCGCATTGAAAAGAATGAACTGAATTAATTTACAAGCAAGATCGCGCATGAACGAAATCCCTCAAAGAATGAAACCTATTTCGGATTTAATCCACGTTTCAACAAAAAAAAGAAATGTGGACAGATTGACTTTCAGTTTAATCGAAAAGCACTTCCGTTAATCTCGTTCATTATGAAAGGACTTTCAGCACGAACTTTCACAAGGAAAATGTATTTCAAATGGTGAAGAAAAAAAAGAAGACTAATGAAAAGTTCTAAAGGTTATAAGGGTTTGTTTCTCAGCCATCACGTCAGTGTAAGCGTAAAGAATATTTGACGTAGAATATGATATATTCTGAAGAAGGATGAGAGTTTGGTCTTATCGAAGCTAAATCTGACAAGTAAAAAATCAACCTTTCAGAAGAAATGCCATGAGAGAAAGTTGTCGGTCAATTATCTTGCATATGTGATACATGCGTAGGCGATCATGTATCTTTCGATATATGATTGACGGGCAGATTTTTTTCTCGCAGTAGGCTGCCATTTCTTTCTGCAGTAGACCAGTTGCCATCCAAGGCTATAA